CAGTCCCTAACGTTCTGTGATTCTGTGATCTAAAGCACATATTACTATGGCCAGTGATTACTGTGTGGGATAGTTGTCCCGTAGCTTTTTGCAACCCCCATCTCTCCTCCCCTCTTTAAAGTATTGAGTATCTGCTGCAGAAGTGAATCATGCTTTGGAATGCTAATCCTGGTAAAAATCAATCATCTGGTCCAGTATTGTGCATGTCACGGTCAATTACAGCACTGAAATTATTACAGTGCAAATAATTTCAGATGAAATAGCTAATAATTATGACCTTCCAGTAAACGGATCAATAGCAACTAAATAGTTCAAATGAACACATTAAGGACAGGAATCTTCAGTAGGGTTTGTGAAGTCTATTTTTAATTAAAATGGGAAGACTAGCAATTTTTGTTTGTTAGCTTTGAACGCTATTTGAGATACTGTTGACATGTCTGGCAGCCTGTTGGTTAAGCACTATAGTTTCTTTTTTCAGTATATGTTTAGTGCACTACGGGACTGTGTACCTGCTATGATGCATGCAAGACACTTGGAATCTTACGAGATGCTTCTGGAATGCTATGACAAAGAAATCATGGAAGTGCTCAATGAGGTAATTTGTTGTAAATGGATCTTAAAGGCAACACTGTGATTGGAGTATCTTAGTAGGCCAGCATCTATTGTACCAAACCTGATATGATGTATGAAAATAGCATAGAGACCTTTGAGATTGGTGTGAGGTATAAGAGAGTTTTCACTAATTATTTTGGTTATTTAAGATCTGTTGTTAATGGTATCTGTGTTGGCTATGAACATGAAAATACTGCACTCTAAATTACGTAAGTTGGCAAAACCTTGATTACAAAGTTTGACTGTGCAGACAGAGGAGTGCTTTTTGTCAGATTAGGTTCTACTTGTATGAATCCCTAAAATAAGTACTACTGTTCTTAGTATGTATGCATGGCTTTTAGTAGTGAAGGCTCTGTAAATGTGGGTGGCCTCTTAAGTGAATTATCGTGTAGAATTATGAAGGATATTTGTCAAGGAGAAAATGCAAATTTAGATTTCCCAAGTTCTAGGTTTTAACCTTTGAAACACTTTTTTTGTTAGACTAGATCGAAACATTACATATTCTGCAGAAAATCGGTTCAAATTGCTTATTGTAACACTTTCTCACTGAGTTAGGTCTTACTGTTATCTAGGTAGGTTGCCTAATCCTAGTTCCCCTTAAGATGAGAAGTTTAAATTGTGTTTAGTTTTAATAATGTACAGATTGACACTCAGTGGCTAAACCTTCACCTTTTCTGAGCTCTGTAGCTTGTTCTAGTACACAACAGCAAGAAAAGGAACAGAGAAATTAAATACCCTTCTGGTTCCCATGTATTGATTCACTTTGGCTTGTATGGCCCTGTCTTCACTAGTTTTATCAGTCTTTTCTGTATCTCTGGAGAGAGATGTTAGTTCTGCTAACAGAGCATTGCAAGTGGACACTGAACTTGATGTTTTTGCTTTTTTTTTTAACTTCCCTGAATAGCACTTGCTGGACAAACTATGTAAAGAGATAGAAAAGGACCTGCGCTTATCAGTTCATACACACCTAAAGCTGGATGACAGAAACCCCTTCAGAGTTGGTATGAAGGATCTTGCTCACTTCTTCTTTCTGAACCCAATACGTTTTTTCAATCGGTTCATTGACATCAAAGGTGAGGAGTTACACATTTTCTTGATTCCATTACTTTCATCTCTGTTACACTTGGCTTAGTACATCTTTAAACTTCTTTCCACCCATCCCTAACTAAATAGGTAGTAATTTTAGTTCATTCTTTTCTATGTTTACAGCTTATGTAACTCACTATTTGGACAAGACCTTCTACAACTTAACGACCGTAGCTCTTCACGACTGGGCCACCTACAGTGAAATGAGAAACTTAGCGACTCAACGTTATGGTTTAAGTATGACTGAAGCACATCTTCCCAGCCAGACTCTGGAACAGGTACAGTACCCACAGGGTATTAATGTCTCTTGTGCTATTGCACTGTCATCCTAGCTAACTATTCAAAGGTCTGAAGTTGTTGAAATGAAGGTACCCAGGAGTAGAGAACTGTTTGGAAAAACTGGCCTTTAGTTTCTTGTTGACTTCTGAGACAGGATCTTTGTCTGCCTTTGGAAGTAACACTGATACCAGTTACTTTCATGTTGGACTTGTGGGGTATCAATCATTTTTTAAGACTAAATCTAAATAAAATGAAGTCGGGTATGCAAAGTCAGAGAATGTTTTCTTGAAAATTCAGTATCAGCAATTTGTGAAGCAATATATCTGGAATACAACTGTCAAAGTCTGAAATGTCCTTTCAATGGCAGGTCTCTTCCCCGGTGTATTGCTTGCTCCTCAGCAGGTTCTGCTTAGTGAGCAAGAGAAACTGTTGAGACACTGTTTTGCAGGCTAGGCATCAAGGACTTTGGGACATCTGTGCTTAGTTTAATGGGAAAATGACTGAGACCCTCCTAGAAACTGCTAAACGTGGGTACGCATAAAGTAAAAAAGTAGTTTTATCAGGTTAATAATGAAGGTATTCACTGTTACAGGGGGTCACTGCAAAAGAATACAAGTTGCATATTTCTGAAGACTTCCTTCAAAAGTTTTAGTTTCTTGGATATTTTTAGCAGTTAGCTTTGTTCCCTAATTTGGGTTAGCACATTGGTGAAAGCTTTTAGAAATACAGCCTCTTTTTTTCTATTGTTCATGTTGACTGTGTCTTCCTAAGTTGAAAGAGGGCACAGAACTAAGAATTCTACCTGCTTTTTGATACAGAAGTGCTATGGATTAGTTTCTGTTTCTGACTTTGACTTTCTATTGGCATTATTTGGCCATCACATTGTTAGAAAGAATTAAATAAATTCACAGCTTTGGGTTCATAACATTCATGGTATGAGCTTTGCTTCAAAACAAAGATACCCCACACTCCATTTTACCCCTGACCCCAGCAAATGCCTGATAACATACTTGGTGTAACTGGAAATAAGAGTGTATAGTTTAAATAGCATCCTCTCTATGCACAGTGATACTAAAGGGACTCCTTTAAGCAACACAGTTGTAAAACACTAAGTACAAAACTTTAGTCTTCTGGACAGGTTGGGCAAAATGACATCAAAAAGTAGCTAGTTGCTTATGTTCCTCTAGAAATCTCTCTCTAGAGATCTCTAAGGCAAGATTCTATTTTCTGGAATCTGAGAACAGCTGAATCTCAATTTAATTTTTTCTTTGTTTTTAATAATGGCTTGTTTAATAGACTGGGGGATACTTTCAGGGGAAGTTGGAAAAAACCAGGCAAATGTAAATTTTAAAATGTGAGCTGAGCTTTTCTCCTCTAAGCATTATCTTACAGACACTGAACAAAAGTTGTTAGGAGATTCTTCATTTTGCAAAGCAAAAACATTGCTTTTGAAAATGCTTTCAAGTAACTACAGAAATAGTAATTGTGCACTTCAATGGTTAGGCACATCAGTAGCTCTTGAATTTTTATCATAATAATTCTCAATAGATAATATTGTTTTAGGGTCTGGATGTTTTGGAAATCATGAGAAATATTCATGTTTTTGTATCCCGCTACCTCTACAATCTGAATAATCAGGTAAGGTATATCCCATGCTCTTTCCTGGATTTTGCTCTGATTTGAAGCGATTGAGAACTGCAGGACAGTGTATGTGTAAGAAACAACCTGACTGAACATATATAATAACAAGCTGTAACATAGCCGTTGCTGCTCTAGAAAAACATCTTTGGGGATGCTGTAGATAGGTCTCAGAGAATGTTCTGAGTGTATTTTGAGTACAGTGTGCCAAGTAGGATCACTCAATGTCAAATATTCCACCACAGGAAGGAGAAGGCAGCAAGGATAATTGGCTGCTATATAAGGACATACCAAGAACATGATTTTTTTAAGCTTGAAAAAGGGTATCTGAAAATGGGTTATTAGAGATGAAGCAGTGAATGACATGGAGAACATGCACATGGAACAACTCTGTGGTTTCTCACAGCATGAGAATGAGGAGCCCACTGTGAAAATGAGCAGCTTCCTTAAAGAAAGGGAAGTACTTTTTCTTAAGCACATAATTCTGTACTGGAACTCATTGCCATGTGTTGTGGTTTAGGCCCAGTGCCTAACCGAGCACCACGATGCCCCAAAAAAGGGCTAGTCAAAATAAGGACTGGGAGGACTTCTCACCACTTAAAAAGTCACAGGCAGAAGACAGACTCATCATAAGGAATAAAAACAAAACAATTTTAATTTGCTACCAACATCAGAGTAGAACAATGGGAGATGCAACCATACCTTAAAGTCAAAACACTTTCCCCCCACCCCTCCCTTCTTCCCGGGCTCAGCTTTTGTTCCCGGTTTCTTCACCTTCCCCCTCCCCCTTTGCCTTGAGGCGCAGGGGGATGGGAGTGGGGGTTTTCATGCCATGTGCCTCTCAGGAGTAGGGAAAAAGCTAGTGCAGTGTCTCTCTCTGCTTCCATGTGGTCCCCCCACTTTCCATAGGAGAAAAAACCCTCAAAAGTCCAATATGGGTCTGCCCACAGCTGTAGTTTCCCTCTCACACGAGGTGCTCCAGCACACACTGCCCGGAGTCATGGCTTCTTCAGGGGCAGCCACTGCTCATGTGGCCCTGCCCCACCGGTGAACTCTACGGGGTGCAGGCCAGTTGACCTGTCTCTCGCCACAGGTTGCAAAGAGGCAACCTGGGTTTTGTGTTGTCCTCCTCCTCCCTCTCCTTTCTTTCCTTCAACCGACCTTGGTGTTTTCAAAGTTGTTCTCCTCAGGCCCCACTCCTTTCTCCACTGCAGGTCTCTTCTGATGTTTCTGGATTTCCCAGCTCTTTCTCTTTTTTTCGAGATGGAGCTGCAGTGGGGCTTAAGTTGTGGTCGGGGCCGCGCCACCCGCACCTGGGGCCATGCTGGTCAGGGCTGGTGCCAGAGAGAGAAATGCCCTGCACCCCCCTTAAATACATGAATTCGCAGGGACACTGGCTTGGTCCTGGTCAGAGGTGGGTCTGACAAAGGCAAAGGGGGAGCTTTTCAGGTAGCTTCTTAAAGGGCCATCTCCATAGCCCTTCCCCCATTACCAAAGACACAACCAAAAACCCTTCACAGAAAACTCAATACACCGTGGTGGGGCCAAAAGTACAAACAGGCACTGAAAGAGTTTAGAGATGTTAATGTAGGACGTAGTCTCAATAAATATGAGAGATTGGGTACAGCATTCACCTTGGAATTGTTTAATCTCAGCTTTGCAGAAACTGGAATAACCTACCAGATAAAGTTTATTGTATGTATACTCTGTTTTCTTGATTTTTTCACCAGTTATTTGCTGCTCTCAGAAATAGTATATGGGCTACCTAGATTGAATACTTATCACAGAGTCAGTTTTGGGTAAAAAAAATTTCCCCCCCTTTGCCTCCCAGATCTTCATTGAAAGAACAAGTAATAACAAACACTTGAACACTATCAATATCCGACACATTGCGAATTCAATTCGAACTCATGGAACTGGAATCATGAACACAACAGTGAGTACTTTTTGCTCCGTTGTTGGATATTTTTTTATTAGTGCACAAAAGCCTCCAAACTCTTGCATCTTCTAATGGTTTATTTGGTTTTCCAGTTTTAATAACGCAATAATGATATTTGTTGTGTTGGAATAAAACAGATCAGTTCTTGGATACAACGCAGATCCATATCAAAGTCTCTTGGGAGTTACGGCACTTCCGGTTGTTATATAAAAGTTAATGAAGAGATCTAAAACCCCATCAAGTAATATACGGATGTTCTGGTGGGACTCTGAATTTCAATAAAGATAATACTTATCAAACTAGCACAGTAGAGTATTTTGATTTTGAAGTTGTCTGCATAAATTAGCATGCTCTAAGTTGCTGCAGTTAAGTGTCAATAAGCAGAAAAAGTATTTATATACTAAAACAAATCTTGAGAAATGCAATGTAAATATTTTGAGTTCATCTTCTTAAGCTTAAGGAACTTAAGAAACTTTTCAGTTTGGGAAATAAAAGCTACAGATCTCTGATCAGAAGACCGATTTCTTACTGCAGCACTTTCAGTGATGTCTGTGGTGTAGGTGGTCATTTTAACTGGCCGAAGACATTTATCTCCCTACAAGATAAATAAGAGCACTTGCTCTGGCTTGCCTGCTGGAGCAGGAATTTATCATTGTGGTTCCCAGGTTTGGGTACAGTGCCAAAGGTATTTTCAGGTTGGTACTTTCCAATCTGCTGCTCAGCTTCTTCCTACCTCTTTGCTCTTTTCTCTTTCTTCTGGCCTTATTAAAAAAGAACAACAAAACATAACAACCAAACAAAAAACAATCAATCTGCTCTCAAGTCCTTACTTGAAAAGTAGAAATTATTAGAAAAATAAGTTTTCATAAGATTATGCTTTCTGGCATGATTGGTAATAACTTGTCTTGCACTATTCTTCTGAGTGATTTTTCTTGTTACTGGAATGGTTAATCTTGGGGACTTCAGTTATTCAAAAATGCTGTTACTTGCATTGTTTCCTAGTGACACAGATATATTCACTTCAGATGGTAAGTAAAGTTGTTTATGCAGACATGAGAAGTAATTGAGATGTGTAGGGTAGAAGTGTGCTTCTGCCTTATGAGAGAGTGTTTAAGAAAACTTGGAGGAAGTGAAAAGGTGCGTCAGAAAGTTAGGCAGATTCTACAACTTGACTGAGGAAGTTGAGCTTGTCTGCCTTTTTCAGCTTAAAATGTTTGTATTGCTTCAAAAGGAGAGTTACAGGATATTCCAGACATAAACAGCCCATAAATGGCCGTGTAGGGCAGGTCCTTGAACTGAAATAGCTAAGTCGTCCCTTGGTCCCTCTGCCCTTCCTGGAAGAGGTTAGGCCTTCCAGGAGGAGGGTTTTCTTTATTCTTTTAAACCAGTGAAATGAAAAAGATGAGTTGAGAATAACAAGTTGAAATAAACTGAGTAGAAGGTTCCATTCTTGGAACATCATAAATACAAGTTACTCTGGAATCTACTGGAAATGGGTTGCTCGATACGCTTGTTACTCGGCCAACTTTCTTGTTTTAACTATTTATCCTTTTTTTTTTTCTAGGTAAACTTCACTTACCAATTTTTGAGGAAAAAGTTTTATATTTTTAGCCAGTTCATGTATGATGAACATATCAAATCCAGGCTTATCAAAGACATCAGATTCTTCAGGGAAGTCAAGGATCAAAATGATCACAAGGTATAGTAATTTTTGAAGGACTGTGCAAAGGACAAGTAACTTGGCTAAAAAGTGCAACCTTCATGTGACTGAAGGTGCACCAAACCATAACATGCCTGTTATTTAAATGTGTCTCCAGACAAAATGATGACTTTTGCCTTAGCAAAATGCATTGCTACAAATCTGTGTTCAGGATGGCTTTGTTTCCTTCTGGCTGCTCCGTAAATACAGAGTTGGCTAAAATCATTGTCTTAGTGACCTGAAAATTATGGTTTGATGGAGCCATGGTCTACTGCGGGTTCCAAACTTCTGGTCCAAACCATGCTTAATAGTTGTTGTCAGTTTTGAATAATAAGATAATTCAAAGTGAATAAAAATGATGTGATTATGTAGCACTTTTATGTCACTTGGAGACTAGGGACTGATTTTCCATGCTGGAAAATTGATTTCCTGAAAATATGAGATACAATGTATTTCGTAAAATAGGCTGCCAGCTTTTTGTATGTCAAGTACTTATTTCTTTTAGGAATAATTTCTTGTGCATGTTAAGACTTCTGTTTCACTTTTCAGCTTGCAGAAGTGACTTAGCTAAATGAGTTTGGCAAACTAATGTAGACAGGCAGGTGTATAATTTATTGAAAAATGAAATTGCAAATAAAATTGTACTGACATGATGAAAACAAGTAATTTTGTTTAAGGGTAGGTAATTAATTATTGTTACAAATTACTCTAAAATATTTTTTTTAGTATCCCTTTGAAAGAGCAGATAAATTCAACCGTGGCATCAGGAAGCTTGGAATAACCCCGGATGGCCAGAGCTATCTTGACCAGTTCAGGCAACTCATAAGTCAAATTGGTATGAAATCCTATCTAAGACAATGTTATAAGTGTTACTGTATGAAATAATTCTTCATTAGAATTAGTCTAGTAATTGAACTTTTAGCTTCAGCTAAAACTAGACTTAACTCCAGTCAGATTGAAAGTACTTCACTTGTATACCATGCAAAATAAATACTGTCATCTAGTTACACAGAAGTAGCCCTTGCATGTCACTGTTGAAAATATAGCTACCGTGTGCGTAGATGCCTGTTCCTTTTGAAGTTCTTCTTTATGTTAAGGAAGTAGCTTTGAGGATATTTCCCAGTAAAAAAGTATTACTCTTAAGTTCATGTATTTCAGAAGAGGCCATATATCCAGCTGCACTAACTTGGAGTGATGCCTGACATTTTCAGCCATTGCTGCTCTAGATGTGCAGGACTGACCTGAACTTGCATGTGTTTAATGTGTCCAGTGGAGAGTTTGTACTTCTTGGCCCTTGTGTTATCATGATAGTGTATGCAGCCTTGCTGGATGATGCGTTTATGCTGTGTTGCTCCACATAGACTTTTGATACCAGGGTTCAATGTAGCTTTTTTAGCTTGGCTTTCAGGACAGTTTCTTTGCCAAAGCTATATGGCAACTTTAATGTACATTTCAGAGTTTATAAAAGTTATGAAGAGTGTGTCTGTGTATATTTGAATAATTATAAATTACTTCCTTGTTTTTTCTTGGGTTTTTTTTTTTTAAAGGCAATGCTATGGGTTATGTACGAATGATAAGATCCGGTGGACTTCACTGCTGCAGTAGTGCAATTAGGTATTTCCACAAATATTTTGTTTTTCTGTTTGCTCCTTCTCGTTCCTTTGGTCCCTATTCATGCTGACGTTCCCTAAGTTCTTGTATATCCCCCATATTTTTTTTTTTCATAAAGTCCATTTTTTTATAAAGTCCATTGAAGTAGAATTGTCAAAAACTCTGCTGGAATTCAGAACTCTACAATCATTGCCATAAACCATTGAAAATCAAAAAAAATAAGAAAAAACACTACAAAAGAGTTACTAGAATGTACCTATAAGTAATTTGTCCTTAATTCAGTAATTCCTAATGTTAATCACTTTGAGAGGGTGCATTAAGGAAAACCCATACAAGCCTTGAGGAGCTGGGAAAAGACATTTCTTTGATACTCCTTTCTGTATGGATGATTGTGTTTAAGGTCATTAAAATATAGTGACTTCTACATACAAGGCAATAGTTGGTTTTCTTGCAAATGTTAATAAACTTGTAGTTATCAAATGCAGCAAGTGCTAGAGAGAGGAGATGGTATGATACAACTTTAATTACTTCAAGCCCAAGAGACTAAATTACCTAAATTATAGTCGATACTTCGGTGAACATAGACAGTTGAACATAATACTAACAAACAGTAAGTTTTCAGGTTTGTTCCTGATCTGGAAGATATCGTTAACTTTGAAGAACTGGTGAAAGAAGAAGGACTTTCAGAAGAAACACAAAAAGCAGCAAGGTACCCTAACATACTTTTGAGGCCTGGGACAGGGATGGGATGAGAGAATTGTGATTTCGAAGTTGTGAAATGCATCTGTTAGCTGCATTTTTGTGTGTGCATGTGTTAAAAATTCAACTGATTTTATGCAAAAAAAATATTTGCTCCTCTTAAAAGCAGAGAAAATAGAAGCAGTTGTTTTAAAAATGCTGAATGCAGAGTGGCATTTCAGGAAGTTTGGGTTGGACATTAGGAAGAGGCCCTTCACTGAGAGGGTGGTCGGTCATGGGAACAGGCTCCCCAGGGAAGTGGTCACAGCACCAAGCCTGCGAGAGTCCAAGGAATGTCTGGATGAAGCTCTCAGTCATCTGGTTTAGTTTTAGGTAGTTCTGCACAGAGCAGGGAGTTAAACTCTGTGATATTTGTGGGTCCGTTTCAACTTGAGATACTCTGTAATTTGCACTAATAGACTGTTAGAACCTGGTTTCTTGATAAAATCCTTGTGGTTTAAAGCCTAACAGACTTTCTTGACTATTTGTCTTGACATCTACTTTTAGAATGTCCAGGACTTTAGGAACTATTCATGTATCTGTTTTGAGGAGATTAAATCAAGAAACATGATTCAGGGTGGCTGTAGAGGTGGGGTGTAATCTTGGACACTCTGGTCCGAATACTGGTCTGCCGAAGAGTGAAGAGAGGGTTGTTCCTCTGAAGGGTAAGCAAGGAAACTTCTAGGAAGGCAAGGAAACCAGGTAACACATTGCTTCTCCTTTGCAGGCAGTTGGACTCTGTCCTCAGTGACCTCACCCGTAACTTTGCAGAGGGAACGGAGTACTTCAAAATGCTTGTGGACGTGTTTGCTCCTGAATTCCGCAGTCCAAAGAATATGCATTTGCGGAATTTCTATATAATTGTTCCCCCACTGGTTGGTATTTGCACTGTGTGCACCAGTACTTACTTTAAAAAACTTACCAGACCAGATTTGTGTTTTAAGTATTTTGTGTTAGCCTGATGAATATCATATCCGACTTTCCTCTCTGATTATGAGTGGGATTGCTTGGAGCATGGCTTTGTTGATAGCTATCCAAAGCCATGTCTGTCTTTATCCACATCAATTCATGTGCTAGCATTGAAAAAGTAACTTTAAAAACTTCTCCTATTTGAGTCAAATTTGGGGAAGCCAAGATAAAGGAGAAATTGGAACAACAAGGATGAAGGGAGCTTAAAATCGTATTCTTCACCTCTCTGGTGTGTGCTCTTTCTGCGTCACATTAGATATCTTTAGACCCTTTTAATGTCATGTTCTAATGCAGTAAAATTGAGTCCTCTCTATTGCCACTGGACTTTCCTTTTGCTAATAAGTTTTGTTTAGAATAAAAGAGTCCAACTGAATTGAAGCGATGCACACTTGAGTGCAGCATTCTGGGCATTTGGAAGCAGTTCAGTCTGAAGGCCTAAATGATCTAAACAGATTCATGTGCAATAGCCCATTTCAGAAACTTAATTTTGAAGTGCCAATGAGCCATAAACTAAAGACTGAGAGGATGGGGATGTTATGGTGACAGAAGTGACAGAAGGTAAAGGCTCATGACAAATACTGCTGGTGTTTTTCCTTCCCATTTGAAGAGTGTTTTTTTTCTGATAAATACACTTTCAGGAATATACCATCCATTTCAGTTTTTAAAACATACTTCAGTGTAATTAAATTTGAAAGTGTCCTAGGTTTTTGAGAAGTTGTTAATGTACACATACTTCCATGTCTCTAGTGTAGTTACTTCATACAAACACATACTCATTGCTCTGTATTATTACCTGGATCGATTGCTCAGTATCATCATAAATGCAACACTATTGAAATCTTTTTACAGTTTTCTGAAAAGAGTGAAATAACGCTGTAGCTTTAAAACACTGATATCTTTAAGCTTTCCAGGAACTTGGGCTGTTTTAATTATCCATTACTTGTTTTCATATTTGCTAATCACCAAGAGTATGCAAAGTGATAAAGTCTGACAAAAACAGCAAAGGTGAAGATGTAGCTTTGTTTTTTTACTTACACATATGCAGGTGTTTTCCAAAGCTTAACTTACTTTCTTCCCCAGCAATCTAGAAAAATGACAACTTTTCATACAGAAATGGCTAATGATAGGAGGCACAATTAGCATAGTTTTGGGCCTGGTATTATATTCATAGCTAAGAGTACGCATGTGAATACCTCTTAGAATTTGTGAGTGTCTCTTGATGATTTCAAGGCAGCTTTCCACTCTTTCAGACCCTCAATTTTGTAGAGCATTCGATCAGTTGCAAGGAGAAATTGAATAAGAAGAATAAAAGTGGAGCAGCTTTCACTGATGATGGGTTTGCCATGGGTAAGTTTCAGCATGCTGACAAGCCTTTGGGTAAGCCAACATAATGGATATTTGCAAGAAAAGTTTTGTTTGTATTTTGCGTGTTCCCATAACTAAAAATTGTGAGGTTTTCAAAACTTGAAGCTGCTGCTTTATTAAAGGGGTTTTTTCCTCCTAGATTTATTTGTAAATTAATTGCAGTTTAAATTTTGTTTGTGTGGGAATTGCCAACTTAGGCTGATCTGTCAAAGGCATAATTGCATATTGACTTTGGTACATGGTTTGTTAATGACTGCAGGTGTGGCGTACATTCTGAAGCTTTTGGATCAGTACCAGGAGTTTGATTCTCTGCACTGGTTCCAGTCTGTCAGAGAGAAGTATGTGAAGGAAATAAGAGCAGTAGCTAAGCAACAGAGTGTGCAGTCCACTAATCAAGATGAAAAACTACTACAAACTATGAACCTTACCCACAAGCGACTGGAAGTTTGTTTACAGGTATAGCATGGGCCTAGTTACCTGTTCTGTACAGACATCTGCACTTGCCCATCGCAATTCAAGTATTTGTTTTCTGATGGAGATTATCAAGAGCAAAAAAAGCAGAGTATTGTCTAGAGCAATAATGCAAAAGGGTATAAAAACTAGAGGTGTATGGTCTGAAGAGGATGTCATAAGTGTTTGTGATGTCTGAGTGAGTCAGGAACTTGACCTGGTCAACTGGAAGTCTTTGTCCCATAGAGTTTGAAATCTAGTTCAACTAAAACTCTACATGCTTAAATAGGATAGAATAACTTTTTGGTTATATTTTTTAAAACAAAGACTTTTACATACCTCTGTGAACCCTTAGAGTTGACTGGGTGTTAATTTTGAGTGTGCGCGCGCGCTCTCTCTCTCTCTGCTTTGATTTGAGGAAGCTATGGGACAAATCTGTAGCTGGCTATTTATAAATAGCCCATGATCACATTCTGTAAAAGCACATCCATTGTCAAAATAGATAAAGCCTTTTTATGTCCTCACAAATCCCACAAGTGTGCACAGTGTTTGATCCTCTGCCATTAAAAAACCCCACATGACTAAACCTTGTTCAGAAACTGATCAAGCTTGTGGTCATTTATTTCTTGGCTTGCATGATTTTCCACGGGCAAGTTGCTCCAAATTCTCACTGCTGCTACAAGTCTCATTTTCAGCCTCAGTGGATTAGGAACAGATTTATTGCATTGATGCTGCTTTGCTTAAATTACCCTTTGAAGTTTTTGGCTGGCATTTCCTTTGTAAAATGCATGTGAACAAGGTATGAATGGAGGGAGATTTTCAAAAGCATTTGTGATGTATATATTGAAATTTAGTTGCCTCAAGTGCTTCTGAAAAAATCCCATTTTTATCTGTCTACAAATTCACTCTTGTTATACACTGACACTTCTCTTCTGTATCTTTTCCCTCAGGAATTTGAGCTCCTTTATTTCTCCCTAAGTAGTGCAAGAATTTTTTTCAGAGCAGATAAAACTGCAGCAGAAGAAAACCAGGAAAAGAAAGAAAAAGAAGGTGAGTGAATGCTCTATGAAGATCATTTTGGCTCATGAGAGAGTGTGCCTTTAGTTAGGTTTTTCTCTTTTTTCCATAGCTGCTTTCTTGCTAGGGATTCAGTTGATTCAGTATTCCAGAAAGAGTTTTATGGGCTCAGCAGTGATTGAGGCATCAAGAACAGCTCATGGAGGCCTTCTTTGGAATTTCAAGCTGGGCTTCCGAGGGGAAAGATAACTAAAAAAATCCCCAACACCACATAAAAACCAACCAACCCCAAAAAATTTGGGACGGGGAGAATTGCAGACTGGCAGTAACACTAAATTCAGTAACTTCGGCATCATACTTACCCTCTCAGTTACCAGTTTTGACAGGGACAGCTTTTTCTGCACGCCCTCAGCTGGTGAGAAATAAACTGGTGGTGTTTAGCAGCCGGTTTTCAACTTATGTAAACAGATGATACAAATGCTGTCTGTGACTTTCAGAGGTTTATGACAGGTTTTTGTCTACCATTGAATTATCTTCAAAGGGTAAGGTCTTAGTTTGTGGTATAGTCTCTTCAGTAGGTAACCCAGGTATTTTGCATTTTATATTCATGCTTATATATTCTCCCTCATGAGTTCTGGAAGAGTCTCTTGGGTATGGGAAGATTCTTTTCAAAGAAATGAGAATGCTCCCAAGGATTAAGATCTAGAAGTGCAGTTCAGTCACAAGTTACTTAGAAACTCAGGTAACAGTATGTTTAAAAATGGTATTGGTAGATATTTTGACACTGTAGTTCTGACAAAAGACACACGTGACCTGTGAGATTACAGTCACTGAGCCAAAGACGAGTTTTTCTTCTGTACTAGGGAAACCGTTTGCAAAGAAATAAGTCTTTTACCATGAATTTGTATTTGATCATATTCAGTGAAGTTCCTCAAATCAAACTAAAAAAAAAATGAAACAAAGCTAAAACAACAAACAACAACAAAACCTCAAAAAACCCCCAAACAGCTACAAGCATTGCGATGAGTAAGGACATCTTACCCTGGCTTCTTTAGGAGAGCATTCTGTACAACAGCGGTTTCTTAATTATATGGGAGGTTAAATCCTCACTGTTGTGATACGTGTTCAGCTATCTGAAAAATGTGCTTTGTGGTGAGAAAAGCTTGAAGTCCATACTGGAGTGGAAAGCTTTGAACATGGTGATATCTTTGCCTTCTGCCATAATATTTGGACTTGATCTCTGCAGAACATATGAGCACATGTGTGTGTTCTTTACACAAGTTCTACTGGTTGAAGGAACCTTTCACCCCAAATACAGATTTCTTCGCAGGGCCAGGTTCCGTTGTGCTGCAAGGTCAGTTTGGATCTGCTGACCGTGGTATAGTCCATCAAGTGTGCTGCGACATCAGCACAATACGCATACAAAGACTTTGTTTTTACTGCCTTGAATAGAATGCTAAACATGATCCATGTCTTTGTTGTTTTGTGTTTTTTTTGGTAGAAGAATCTGTTAAAGCAAGCAACGGAGATCTCTCCAACGCTACGCCTGCAGACCCTGTTGTGAAGTGATATGGCTGGTATGGGAGATGATTACTTACTCAAACAATTCATGTTCTTGTCATTATCAGTAACACTTGGAGGGGTAAAAGCTCTAGATTTGATTTCCTTGCTCTGTTAAACCCAAGAGAAAATGTACACTAGTATACTAGCATCCAGTGAGGCTAGGTGTGTGTTTGTCCATATTTCCTGTAGAAACTCCTGTTTTTCAGGAGTCTACATTATTTATAGCACTTTCTTTAGATTGAAAATTATCATATAAAATATTGAACTTGGAGGTAGTTATTTTTAAGTACAGATGTGCAGATAAAAAAAATCTTACTAATTTTTAGATGCATTCTTGCATCTCTAACATACCATTTAAAAAAAAAACTGAACCAACTCATAGGCCACTGGTCTAAGATTTGAACTGGTGCATGCCTTCAACCAGAAAAAAAAAAAGAAGCAAGGTATTACGCGTGTCTGTTGTCCAAAAAATAATTCAGACTTGTTTTTATGCAGTCCTGTTGAATTGATGCAATCACAGATTACACTGTAGGTGTAACAGTGTACATTGTGAGTGTATGTTAAAGCTATTACACAAAATGGAAATCCTTATTGATGTTTTATTCCACAAATACTATTAGTTATTATTACTACAGATAGTATTTACACTGTGGGAACTTAAGATCCTGTCAGGCAGTGGTTTGGTTTTTTCCCCTGCTGTTTTTTGCCCCCATATCAGAGAATGGGAAAACCTGAAAAGTTAAGGTAATGAATTACTTCTCATTTCATACCAAAGGTCTGATTTGCATCCACAGAAGTAAGGAAATCCAGAGCCAAGACAGAACCACAATCAGCTCTTCCTTTTATGACCAGGCACTGTGATGGGTGTCTGTAACTATTAAGTGATCTTACACTTCATGGATATGTTGTGCCTAATTGCAAGTTTCAGCCTCAACTCTGTATTTCCTAGCCTTTGTAGGTCTGTTGTACCATCTGTGTTGTTCATCCAGTCTTACATGCCTGATTGTTAACAATAACTGCACTGCAGGCTTCAGAAGCTGCTGAACACTGTGAGAACTCTGTGTAAATACAACATCTGTTAATGCCTGCAAGTAGAGGTTCTAGATTGTGCAAGAGTTACTCAGATTCCTAACCTACAAGTAAGTAGCTAGACTTAGCTTAAAAGGAAATACCATTTTCATTAAAAGATACAGTTGTGTTTTAATCTCCCAGAACATAAAACACTTCTGGTTCTTACTAACTAGAATAAATTACTCTAGTCAGTCAAACTGGGAACTACCTTTTGGGTTTTTTGGCACTCAGCTGTATTTTTAGACATACTTGCCAGCTTCATTCATCTCTTCTAATTACAAAAAAAGGCAGTGTTTTAATGGCTCAAATTGTTCCACTCACCCTTGGGTCACTGGTTAAGACAATTCGTGACAGACTTTGATTTGCCCTGTCCTGCCGGTCACTTCAGCATTCAGAAAGGCAGGACAGATGTTCTGTTGCAACTGGAAAAGACCAGGCTGATTGGAAAGTCATTTTGCTGGTTCTGGAAACACGACACAGAAGCTTCATAGACTTTAAATCAGCTGGGCTCATTAAAGTTTTTATTTTTAATTAATTGTAACTGCAGAGACTGCCCTAAAGAATGCTGCATTACTTGATTTGTATTTTTGCTTTTTTTAAAATTTTGATACAGGGTTGTTGTTTTTTTCTCATACTTTGTGTACTTTCTTTTTTGACCAAATTGTGCCCGCACTGAACCCTCAGTAGCGCTGCCGAGCTCAGCATTCTTGCTGCTGCTGCTAATTCCCATACTGCTGCAACTGCAGAGTATGTATTTCCATATCCCTGTCTCATCTGAAGCCTTCACGGCTTGGAGTGGCCAAGCACTGCATTTCCTCCTTCCGCAGCAACTGCAGAATCACGTATAGATGGTGTTTGTTGTCCCCCAGGACGGAGTTGCTAGGTAGCTGGGTACACTCATAACATCTGCACTTGTGTTTTCCCTTCTCCTGTTTTTTTGTTAAGACACTATCTTGGATAGGTAATACTTTGCAGCTGAACATAAATTGAACTGTGCATTTCCTTAAGATATAATGGGTAACAAATTAATGTGGTTCTGGTGATGGAAATTCTACAGGAAAGACGTAAGCCTATTTTTATAGAACCCTGTTTAACCCGAGAGACCTGAATGTATGCTATATGTGGCAAAAATATATAAGTACACATAAATATATACAGTGGTAATAGAGCTATTCTTGCTAATACAGGACTGTAGTTTATATTTCCTTCTTTTTGTCATGTAGCAGCATATACATGCAGAAAGCTTTTCTCATCTGAAATGGGTCCTGGATTTGGACATCATACACCCCTGTGTCAGAGAGAGTCACACTAAATCCTTTTTTGTCCCCCACAAGGATCTGAAAGGGGTGCAAAGTTCTTGCTGTGGTGCTACTACTATTTTCATTGCTTTTGCCCTCCTGTTCTGATTATAGGAACAAAATGGACCCCAGCTGCTTTTCTAGAGATGAGATGATGTAGCTAAAACAAAATAATCCCCCCAACTAAACCAAACGTGCTCACTCAGAATTCCCCAAGGAAAGTGAGGACGATGAGTTTGCTGCAGGGACGTAAAGCAGTTGTTTGGGGGTTTTCTCCCTTCTTTCTAGTCAGGGTAGAGCAGGCTGAAGGCCAGTTGCTGTCCCTGGGAAAGCAGCTGCCACCACTGCCCTCCTGTG